ATTAACATTGAAGAAGGTTCGAAATTTAAACAAAATGTTCATTTCATGACATTTTATTTTTATTTAATAATTTCAGCAACTTTTTCATTTGTAAGTTTAATTCACGCTTTCAAATCAATGAAAATACGTATTTGCTTTCTGCGTTTTACTTCCTGTGCCAGTTTCTTTCGTGACTTTTCGGGCCGTAGCAATAGCGTCTCGCCATCTTTGCCCTCCCTACCTTCCCCTCCACCGCCATTTCGACCACAAACGCGCGACCGCCCAGCACGACCTCACGCATCAGCACCGCGGTCCACACGGCCTCTGATAAACGCATATGGCCACGGTCGGAATTCCAGTTGCGTGAGGCGCTGCCTCGTTTGGTCAGGAATCGAGTAGCAGTACGTGTGCGCTGGAATACTTGCCCCGTTATCGAAGATTCGTTCATCGCTGGAATCACGTTTGCAGATATTTGATTACACATAGATGCGTTTTGTGTTGGCGGAGTCCTTTGATCTGTAGCATGAATCGACAGATATTTCGTTTAGAAGCTACATCTTCATTGTTAGATAAGTAGGGAAGTCTGCTACAATTTTGCACATTTAGAAATGGTAGAATGCCACAGCGCCTCCTAAACTCGAAGCAATTGCGCAATATATAGACAGCAGTAACCCCCGGCATAAATACATTCACTAATCCTAAACGGAGGAGCTCAGTTTTGAACGATACTATAAACTTTCTCCACTTTAGTGAAAGCGGGAATTATCTAATTTTATTATGATGAATATTTATGAACTAGAGAGTGTCTAAAAACTATATAATAATAATTACCTTGCTGGATGCGTTTCATCATCATCACACATCAACTTCCTGGGTCCATTACAGTTCACGTGACAGAAACCTACTGTGTAGAGAGGATCATGGCCAGACTGTTCTCGGTTTGATTGTTTAGTGAATCCGGGCACGTCAACTACTAAGGTTATTAATCCCGTAAGTGTAATGCATGTTTCATTGCGAGAGATAGCGGTGATGTTCTCTCGCTGGCTGACAACATCTGGCGCCGACGTACGTTGACTTGCGGGTACATTCCTCAACCAGGTATCTCCCACCAACAAGGCCCCGCCCCAGCCGGAACAAGCACTAAACTTCTGATTGGTATCAACAAGTATAATACTGTAGTGCATGTAAGTGAAAGTGTATGTTAGAAAGGGGTAACGATAAAACAAGGAAGAGGAAGGAAATATCGCGCGCGGTCCCTGGCCCTTTTGTTACTGTAGTACTGTTCCGGCATTGACCTGGTGTTGATCGGAGAAATCACGAACAACTACCGATCAGCCGGCTACTAGAATTCTCCTCCAGGCAGCGGCTAATTTCATCCTGAGATAATTCGGAATGATTTATAATTTTAAAAAAAATAGAGACGTGTCTTATCCTGATTTTTGCGAATCCTTAACCTAAAATGTTGGTCACCGAAGTATTCTGAATTCATGAAATGTCTTAACTCCTGATGTTTCATATACTACTATACTTATATTAATAGAACTTATCTGAAATTCCTCCCGATCAGAGCAGACGGTTGTCGTAAGCGTGCACTCCTCGCGCCTGCATTATTCAGCGCAGCCCCTTGAGGCTGTGGGAGGCGCCCGCGCCCGCGAACGCGCTCCACGTGCGGCGAGCGCTGACGCATCGGGCGGAGGAGGTCTTCCGGACCACACGACGCCCACCCCGCCCCGCCCCGTCCCGCCCCGCCCCCTCCCAGCGCCGCGCAGACGTCATTCTATCCAGCTCGTTAAGGCGCCAGTGAAAGGAGAGGCCGCAGGATGGGGGAGGCGACCGCTGCATTCATCTCTTGGGCGGCCTTCACTCGCCTGTCTCCCTCGTCGCAATTTCTTAGGTTCCGCGTTGCTTCTGGATAGGTTACATTCACTTTCTAACCAACCATCCTCAAGAATAAGCAAACTATTTTTTTAAAAATATTTGTTTCCACATTTTTATTTCTTTTTTAATTTTTCCTGTTTTCGTTTATCACTTTCCTTTCTTTTTTTCATTGCTTTCTTCTCTTTTTAGAATTTTTTCTTTACTTTTTTTTCTTTCTTTTTTTTCCAAATAGATTCCTCGTAAGATACCAATTGACTGGCGACCTCCATTGTGATTCTTGCAAAATTTTCAAGAGTCAATTCAACTTGTGCCAAGTGCACTGTGCTCTCTTGAGATCTAGGCCGCTAATGATACACGTGTATCCACTTCGTTCTCTTTCAGCATTAATCAAGAACTTTTTACTCGTATGTCAAAGGTGTCGTGAGGCTTAATGACTATTTTGGTCGCAAGAGTGCTTCGCAATACGTCACCTTAGAACGAGAAGGACTACCTGAACCAGAACGTGAAATCCATCCTTCAGAGTTCATAAACGAGTTCATGGAGAGTCCAAGGCAACACGGTCTATCGTCAATGAAATAAAATAGATAAGTTAAGATTGTGTTACACAATGCCTATACGAGCCTTTAATGCCGACAAATTAGTGCGAATTGCTTCATCTCTGTTATGGCGTGGTTAAGGAGCACAGGGGACTGGCCGCCCTGCTAGAGGGGGGGGGCGAGCAAAGAGAAAACGGCAAGAAAAAAACAAACACCGTGTCTTCCAGTCATCTAAATATTCTTCAACATTTCCATCCGTTGCTGCATCTATTATGTGAGATTACGATCTCCATTTGAAATTCGCATTTTTACTGAAAAGTGTTTATACCAGTACGTGGTAAATGATAGAAAAATGAAACTTCGAAGGTACATAGTACGAATGAAATATACCTCTCTGAAAATGTGAAAGTGACAAGAGAAGAATAAACAGCACTGAAAAATAAACAGCATTGTGAAGTACCTGCGTACATTCGCAGGATCATGTTCTGAGACACAGGTACTGATGCATTCTTATAGATATATAATGAAATATTTTCTAGTTGAAATTATTCTACAAAAGGAGATTATTCAACGGGCGAATATTTTATGATTATTCCACTTTCGAATAATGTCCAAAGAACATAATTAAAGAGTTTATTTCCTAAGACTCGCAACCCCATTTTTCTAGTTTTACCTACCAATATATTCTTAAGACGCTTCTCAATCATGCTGTCAAACATTCTGTTAAATATGGCGTTTCTCGAAATAGTTTTACGAAAGATAATAGTCATAGATTTTATAACTAAATATCTGAGAATCATTGTAAGGCTGGATTTTAATTCTTGCCCTCCCTGAAAAATTGTATCTCTTAGAGATACGTCACAAAATAAGCTCTTCACTTATCGCGACAAACGATAGTCATCGAACGGGGTGGCAACACTGCCAACGGGCGTCACCGGCGGGGGCGGATACACTCCGCGGGGGAGTCGGCGCGTGCGGGGGCTCGTAAGAAGCGTGCCAAGGTCACGACTGACGCCCGTCGCGCCGCAGATGTTTTTGGCGCGGTCGGTGCGAAGGAAGACGCCTGCAGTCGCCGCGCCGCGACGCGCATCGATGCAGGCTGAGGGAGGTTCCCACACGCCGCGCGAGGCCCCCAGATGACGACGAACGGAGCTTGGGCAAGGCAATTTACTGGGAGTAACGGGAAATTACTATCATGTGGGTTGCAAGGAATAATTAGATTTTTCCCTACTTCAGTTTAGCTCAAATGATCACGATACTCAGTAATATACTCCGGCTAAGTTTAGCTCAGAGTCAGAATTGGCGCTGACTCTGCAGTGATTTTGGAAGACATAGGGTTCGAGTCCCGATGATGGCGGATTATCAACCCAAGCTACATAGCTAGGTCGAAATCACCCGCTGTATTGAGAAGAGTTCTAGCGGCGGGCTTCTCTGAGCGATAGTTTTCCTGGTTAATCTGATCACTATCAGATGAATGCCGGAGCAGTATCTCAATAAATAGGCCACGGACAACACTCTATCTTTTCCTCCTTTCTTCCACACAAACTAACACTTACATGAACTACACTACCACACATGTCGGGGAAACAGTCAATAGCTTAGAGTACATCCGGGCTACGGCGGTGACTCGCTGGGGGAGATACTTAGAGAGTGAAATCCCCCTCGAGCCGACGTGTATGTCGGCCCCGGATCTCACTACCCAGCTAAGAAGGAACACTACCACCTCTGCAGTAAAATTATCACGATACAACGGGATTGATGTGCCCGGAAACATCAATCAATCATTATGTACTATATTACCAAAAACAAAAACAAAAAACATCGTCACTACATACCTTCTATGGTTCCTACTAAATACCTTCCCAAACAATTGAACTGCAATAACAAAAGTTGTTGTACTCGACGAAATATAAGTATTTTAGCCACTTATTTTCGAGTTACATTATCATTAAAATACTTGAAACATTATTAGTAATCCGATGACTTGATTGCAAAATCTGTGTTCGCTTTCTCTATCCTTCGTTTTGACATTTGATCGTCCCCTTCTCACAATTTTGTTTAGTATAAATAAAGGAATATTTGACTTGCAACAATAATTGGTGTGCATCGCTGTGACAGTTCATTAGTCCGAGCTGGCTGGCACTCGACATCACTTTGCATCGCGGCGTCATCGCCGCCTTGACCTTGTTCTCGCAGCTATTTGTGTCCCGGGGATCTGCTTCCCACCCACCGCCGTTGGCTCATGCTACAGAACGCGCCGTGATTCAAAGGGAGAAAAACTTCAATGCTAGCATCTGTTGCATATTTTTTTCGTTCCTTTTTTCTTTGATACACATTCGCCAGCATTACAGCATTAAATTGTTCCTGTCATTTATATTTCATTATATTATTATTCCGTTGTGAATAGTAAGGGCACAGCGTCGTTTTATATGTAAATCAAATATTATATCAAAAGGATCGTATTATTTTAATAATAGTTTGTTTCGTGCCAAATATTATGCGACCAATGAACAATATTATGTTACAATGTTGAATTAAATACATTATGCTTAGGTTAATAAAACTATAAATGATTTTAGTCTAATGATCATTTTCTTTTGTTTACAGCCTGGTCGTGTCGCAACTCTTATCGAAGAAAAAGAGGTAAGTTCATCTTTAAGTACTAATAGACACCAAAGTACATTTTCATAAAATAAACTTCCACTTTTTATCCTAAACTCACAGTCCACGCTTACGAAAAGTACTGGAAACTACATGTTCCAAGAAAGATACTGGAAACACGATGCTCCGACCGAGATGCATATGCCCCTAATCCAAGAACACAGATCCATCCATTACATGATACACCGCGCTGTCCATACGACCGGCGGAAAGTGGTTGTTCGTGTCGCGTGCTTTCGAGATAAAGCGATCTGATAAGCTCATTATTCCCAGGACCGTTCTATCCTCCTCACTCGAACGATCAGCCACTGTTATCATGGCCGAACTCTTCAACACTTATTATAATGCCTCTATCATGGATATTTACGCAAGAGATAACTGTATGGACTATACCTGAGCTTCCTGTTCCTCGTGAAGTGATATTAATTTTGCGGAACGGTTATCAAAAATTTTCGGCTCATAATGAAATTATTTTTACGGAAAGGAAACTCGTAGAGTAGAAATATTGGACTAGTCCATAAAAGATGTGTGAATCTTGAAGACCTTACGTTATTTAACTCATGTTTCTTATCAAAACTTGAAACACTGTTTAGAATCTACTGTTTAATTTCCCTGTATCAGGTCAAATTTATTCGTCATTTCTCTCGAAAAAACTTATGCATGCAGGATATACAATACATACAGACGCTAGCAGATTTTTACTTTATTGGGAGAGGGAATCAATGATTTTCTCATAATAAAGTTTGGACGACGGGATAATGAGCTAATGGAAAGTCTAATGAAATTTGGCTGGTTGACGGTAAATTATACGAAATTGACCAATCATAGGAGAGATTACACTTTTAAGGCGGCTTCTAATGCCCGATTCATTCAATCACGTTCTAGTAAATAGAAATGGGCTTATTGAATCCGAACGACCTCTTTCGACGGCCACCGCAAACACCGTCTGCCAGACGAAGTTTTCTGTTTCGTTTGATTCTGTCGGTTCCGTTCATCCAAAATCAGCTGGAGAGTCAAAGCCATCTGTAATACCAATAGAACCTACAATACATGTAGATGGTCTTCTTGCAAGCGCGATTCTTGCACTCAGGTACAAACAATAAACTGCGTAATTATGAGAAAAACCGATTTCGGTTGCAACATTCTGGTGTTTTTCGAATGAAATTGGTCGGACGATTTCACTCTCAGTCTTCCGGTATCGAGAGAGCGAGCGAGCGATATTTTGGCTGCACTATGACCGTAGCCTTACTCGAAATCATCCTCTTCCAGTTGGCGCGAATTTTAGATAGGGTTGTAAGACGTTCAATCAGGAAAGTTAATATTCTTAATTTCATACTACTCCACATCTGCGTGCCACTCGCTACCCGTTATCTCCACTCCACTTCTTCTCCTCTTGCATAGTGCCTGTACTCGGAAGCGAGTATTTTCACACGCATATACTTACTTTTAAACGTAATGTTCCTTCAAGAGCTGGGAGAAGAGAGGAACACAGTCATTTAATCAAAGCTTCGTAACATTTTAAATCATTTATACTGAAGCTCTCGATTGAATGACACCCTCTCTCCTTCCAGTTCGAGATCTTGAAAGGACACTATTTCGAAAATAAAACTGTCCCTTCAACATCACGAGCTGAAAAGAGAGAGACACACTGGCATCGAATCCGCAGCTTCAGTACCAAAAGTGTAAGTCGTAACGAAGCTCGCGATTGGATTACAATGACCCCCTCTCCTGCTAGCTCCTGACATTGAAGAGAGACACTGTTTTAATCGGAGTATAATAGACTGCACATCCCGCCTCGCGTGAAACCTGTACTGACGTGTGTGTTTCTGTCTCGCAGGGCGTAGTGTGGGGCCGAGCGTTCGCGGTGACCGGCGACGCTGCGCTGCCGTACCTGGACACGCGCGAGTGTCGCCTGGGCGGCTACCGCACGCAGCTCACCACCTTCCACCCGGGCTGCTGCCCCGAGCGCACGCTCACGGCGCTGGTGTACGTGGCGCTGCCGTGCAACGCGCTGTGGCTCGGGGACGCGCCGCTGCCCGAGATGGCGCGCCAGATCGTGGCGTCGCGCGGCCCCAGCGGCCACAACGTGGAGTACATCCTGCGGCTGGCGGCGTTCATGCGCCACCAGGCGCCCGACTCGCCGACGACCACCTGTTCGCCTGGAGAAGTCTGAGTGCGGGAACGCTGCGCCGCAGCGGCTGTGCCTGAGGCGCTCATGGGCGACCCACCCCTACGGAGGCTTGGACGCGGAGAGCCCCCTGCGTCGAGGTGGACACGCCCACCTCATCGGGAGCACTTCGAGTCGGCGTCGTCGTCGGGACGGAGTGAGCCCCGAGGGCGCAGTCGGCCCGCCCCGGGCCCGCCCCGCCCCCGCCGCCGCCGGAGCTGCCGCCGCCGCCGCCCCGCAGCCAGGCTCCTTCCAATACTCATCGCGCGTCCCGTCCAAGAAATTACGCTGCCTCAACATCTAGCCGCGGTCTTCGTTTGTTTCTTCACATTCAAGTGTTTGTTTTTTTCTTCAAGACTATAAGACCTTCGAATTTACAAAGGCCAACTTTTTTTGTACTTCTCAGAATACAAATCTCACTCGTGTGCGGTGATATGTGAAGATACTGAAACGTCAATCAAATGCCGCAGATCACCCTGACGGACAGTGCCTGGACATGGAGAGACCCTGCGCGTCGAGGCGTTCGTCCAAGAAGCTTCACTGCCTCAACATCTAGCCGCAGTCTTTTTTTTATTATTATTTTACGTGTTTCCTACAAGACTATTGGACCTTCTTTGAACTTACAAAGGCCAACGTTTTTACTTCTCAGAATACAAATCTTCACTCGTGTGTGGTGATATATAAAGTTCCTGAAACGGCCATTCAAATACGAGCAGCCATGTAGTAGTTCTGGTGCTAAATCGCGATTTTCGCTTGTGTATATCGAGTGGCTATACCAGCGTATTGCCGCAAATCGTTTAGTCGAGTGACTTCTAGTTTTGAGGACCGTATTGAGTGACTGAAATATTCAAAACTCTATTTTTCTTTGGAGTGTTTTCTTTCCGAAGCGATTTAATATTGACGTCATTTTCATATTGAAAATAGCGAACAGAGAAAGAGAAAGCATTAGTGTACAATTATCTATGGCAATCTTACGAAGATGAATAATTTTAAAAACAGCATTTATTATTCGTTACGTATTTACGATTATTATAATTTATATCGAAGTTGTATTTTGTTATTACTGTTGTATTATTTAATTTATTATATTCACATATATTCGATATTAAGATGATACAACATATACTACACATACAGCAATTAAGCGCGCCATAGATTTTTTATTTTGAATATTTCTGCTAAATATCAGTATTATAATTTTTATTATGTATTGTCATTTTATGTTATGCTATTTTTGTATAAAATCTCAATAGTTCGTAAGAACCTATTACATTTCCGATATGCAAAAAAGTCGAAGTGATTTGACGTTAGTGCTCGACGCACAACAGATTATTACCAAACATTTGTTCACAGTCAAGTTGTTCACTTCCATCTTAATTTGTATGGGAAATATTTTCGCTACGAGAGTATCTCCTTAATTATTTATGAAATATAAAAATTCTTCACATATTTTTAAAACGTCTACCTTCATTTCCTCGTATTATTTCACTTGTTCTTCGAAATATCTCATGATCTTCCTCTTCCCACTCATAAAATATGTATGTACTCTCTATATAAACCTTATTATATCAGGTATTGGTCAAAATATTTGTACATTTTAACTTATGTCCCAGATTACGAACCAGATCTATACTAACGAGCGTCTAATCTAACTTACAGTCTAATACCTTTCATTTTCAGGAAGTGTTTTCTCAATGTCTTTAGAACGATATTTAGTAGCAACTATGTTTTTAATCTAGGCAAGTAAATGTAACTAATTTATTGTATCCATTATATTAAAGACACTTTTTCGTAGGCAATAATATGCTTCTATGGTACTTCGTTATCACCAATGGATGATACATTTTTTAATCTACTTTCCTCGGTACTGTGAGCGGTAGCGTGGATGACTATTTACCGTGCTTTTTTATTTTGTGTTGTATTTAAAATTGAGATAAAATCAATTCAGATGTTACACAGGACGATAAATATATTTTACCTACTTGAGGAACATCTATTTTTGCCCTTAGATAATACCTTCCACTCATAGATTACGCCTCTTTTTTATTTTATTTATTTAAGGTCGCTTTTTATTAAATGTCTGTTTGTAGTTAGGTATAACACAAGTAAATAAATATTTTCGATAGCCATGCAAATGTTAATTGAAAATTTGTTCACGACGTGGTTACAATAAATTTGATCCTTTTGGGACTGAACTTTTCTAAATGAGAAAAATATGAAGAGTATACACTTCTGAATGACAGTAAACTTGGTTTCTTTCCTAACACGCCTTACATTGCTACATGCTATTCCTTATTTTAAGACATCATTGTGACACTAGTTAGCGAAAAATGAATACTACTAACATTATTTTTATTTATGTAATAAATAGAATGAAATGTAATAAACTTATAAATCTTTAGTTTAGGTATAAAATAACTTAACAAACACCTTCAAAGAATTTACAATTTATCAGGATCACTCTAGTTGAAGAGCCTCATTATAGTAGATACTACCTACTCTCACTCTCATTAAATTCTCTCTTTAATCTTAATCTACTCTCACTATCAACTAATTACTCTTTTTAAGGAATTCACAATGAGTAAAGTAATAACAGTTTAACAGTAATGAATAAGTAGTAACAGTAATTAATATTTAAGCAGTTTCTGTACCATTTAACATTCTGATTTGTGATAACTTCTCTAAAATAGGTGTGACTTTGTAAATACTAGGGTAATAGGCTATTTTTGTTTGTATTCCAGCACTTTTATATCAATATTCCAATGATTTCATTTGTTGGAGTAATATCTTGCTCAGTAATGATCACTTCAAAATTCGAAGCAAATTAATTTAAGGGCAATGGAATTAATTCAACCGAGATCTGGTTCGTTACCTGTTTCGAGGACAATGTCTAATGCTCATTGCAAGTGCTAAGTTTTTGCAAAAATTCTTAGAAATGAAGATGCGTCGTAAATATGGCATATGTTGTCATCTAATTGGTAAGGATTGCACTTTGCAGGGTGAACTGTTCGATAATCGACTGAAAAGTGATTATCTATTTACAATTACGAAAGAAGATTGGATGCTTCAAACAAAAACAATCTCCGAAATCTAACTGACCGAGGTTTGGGCTATTAGGAAGGAAGAAGGGAAAGAAAAGGTGACAGTATGCTGAATCTAGCTTATGTAAAAATTACAATATAATATTTTGAATCATTCTTCTTTAATTCTTTTACACACATTTTGTTTTCTGCTAGACTTCCCGCAAATTAAGGAAACGATTTTCACTTTTTAAAATACAACGTTGAAAATAATTGAGATTAGCTATCAATTTAAAGTTAGCGTCGACAGACGTATTTCATAGATGTGTATTACCACGATTACAAAACATGTAACAAGAAAATATCTCAAACAATTCACCTACACACGAAAATTTTACAGGCATTATTCGGATCTCATATCGGTAAAATTTATTTCATATCGGTATTTTGTCTTAATCTATATTAACTGTTAATAGTTTCGTTATAATATCAACCCTCAAAATCTATTAATTATTTCACCGAGCAGTTAAAACTAATTAGCAAGATGGAAGTGAACAAAAGTACTCTACCTTTTCTCTTCTCGAACGAAGTACCAATATTTTTCAAAATCCAATCTTCCTCTGTTTGAACTCAAAAGTCCCTTTGTAAAAACCGAAATAAAATAACAACTTGTTGAGAATTCTCAACAACCTTTTTCAAAATTTCAATAACAAACCGTTTTTTCTCGTAATTTCTGACTTGCAAACAAGATTGTTTAAAATTTACACTGAACAATGTTTGAATACATTTTTCCTCAACTCCATTAAAAACGTCTCAACAATCAGAGTGTTTTATGTTTGGTAGAGAAATAATTTTTAAATATTTTAATATTAATGTTTGGTAATATCTTCAATTGTCAAGAATGGCATTTCGTTCCTGAACGAAAATCGCAATGATAACTACAATGCCACTTAATTTTAATAATGTTTATTCGTACGTCCTCAGAACCAAACAACGTTTCTCTTTTCCCTTGCAGGTACCAACCCTATGGCCCTCATCCGGGCATTTGAGTCGCAACGACAAATTAACCAATCAAGATATGTCACATGGAGCCCAGAGGTCAACGAGAGAGATCGCTTTTAGCGGAGTCTCCGATCAACAGCGACAGACGAAACCGGCGGATGTTTCGCACGATCGCTGCGCCGCCGCACGCCACGGCTCAGGCCGGGAGGACGATCACGCGAACCAGCCGCCGCACCGCAGCCCTTCTCGTGGCTCCGCACGCCTCTGCCGACTCGTCCTGGTGCATCCCCGCGAGCGTAGTTGCGTCTGCAGGCGTGTGCCAGAATCTCACTCTTGAAATCCTGGTGGGGAATCTGGGTGTCCAAATTTCCGGAGATACCCACGTCGTTAGTGCTAAAATGAAGATACGGGTTGGGAGCTTTGGTCTTCCTGGCCCTTAGTCTTGAAGCCTCCAGCTGGAATCTGGCCTCCTCTGGGAGTTGTTCACAACTCACGGGAAATTGGATGACTTGTCTCGGGACCTAGCAAGTGCTGCTAATGAACTCCGGTTCCAGTTTCCAACCTGGAGAGGTGGTAGCTCTACGCTGTCAGAGCGGCCTCGCCCAGATTGGAGCGGGTAGGCGTTCCGGAAAAGCAACGCATTCTGACTTACCCGGCCGCCAGCCAGCCGGTAACTTAGTGCAATCCGAAGGGTGCTACGTATAGGCCGAAAAGGCAGGAACCCGCAACTCACAGCAAATTGGATAAGAACTTGTCCCAGAACTTTGAGAGTGATGGTAATTGACGTCTGTTGCAACCTAGAGAGTTGGGGCTCTGGGATAGCAGGCCGCCCCACCCAGGCTCATGTGGATAGATTTGCCGAAGAAGCAATACGTTCTGGCGAAAGCCAGCCTGCCGTGCCCAGCGCAACCCGAGAGAGGTGTGGATAAGTCGAAAAAGCAGGCTTTGTGGCGAGTAAAATCCCCTTGGCATGAAACTTAATGTAGTCTCGCCGCACCTGGATGCAATATTCAACTGTCCTAATGCCAAGGAGCATTAAAATGGAACTAATGACTTGCATCAGCAAAAAAGCTGATGAACAAAACCACACAAAATGGACTTGAAAATGAACACTACTACCAAAATGTGGCACTTCCACTGTTTAAGAGCTACAAATAAATAGTCACGTATGACACAACAACAAATTAAATATCT